TGTTTGCATGTTGTTTTAGAGATAGTTTTTCTAATTTTTTCTGGTCTGGCTTTAAAGTTGAGATCTTCCTGCTCAGCCTTCTGAGTTACTGAGGACAGGGGCCACCACCATACCTGTTTTCTTTTTTCAAATCAATAAATATTCAGTTTCTTTACAACCTCTCATTTTATATATTCCAAGTATAAATGTAAATGTTTACTTCTTGGTGTATGTATAAATATGTGTGTATGTACATATGTGTGTGTTTATCTGTACTGTTGTGTGGGTGGTTTCCATCATAGGTTAACAACATCTTATCTTCCAGATGTGCAGGTGTGTCACTGGCCACGAGAAAACAAGGGTTTCCTTGTGTATGATTTTTCACAATGTGGTAACTCTTAATACATAGTTTCACTCTCCATGGTTTCAATTATCCTGGGTGCATTTTGTTTTGAAAATCTTAAGTGGGAAATTCCATTAGTGACTTTATATGAATTACATGTGTGAAGTTGTTGAGCACACTTTTTTTTTTTTTGGTCATGGGCTTGAATTCAGGGCCTGGACATTTTTCCTGACCTTTTATGCTCAAGGCTAGCACTCTATCACTTGAGCCACAGCTCCACTTTCTGGGTTATTTTGGTAGTTAATTGAAGATAAGAGTCTCACGTGGACTTTTCTGCTTGGACTGTCTGTGAACTGCAGTCCTCAGATCTCAGCCTCCTGAGTAGCTAGGTTTACAGGGATAAGTCACCAGCACCTGGCTTAACACCTGGGCAATGTGATTAATCTTGCTCTGTCCCACTCATCTCTCCTGATCCTATGAGGATATATATCATCTCTCTGTCCAGTGTGTCTACACAGTATACATTATCTGCCTCCTCTTTATTAGCCCATTGGCTCTCATGGTATTACAGTGTTTGAATTCAAGTAACTTTTATTTTACTTAATTGTGGCTTCAAAGTTTAAAAGCAGTTATATTGCCAGACTGCATATGTCAAAGAGAAACTAGATGTACCTTTTTTTAAAAGATGGAAGTTCTTGACCTAATAAGGAGAAAAATTGTATACCAAAAGTGCTAAAACCTATAGTAAAAACAAATATTCTACTGTAAAGTGTTAAGAAGGGGAAGTTCACTGTAAATTGTTTTTTTTTTT